ACAAAATGAACTTTGAGAATGCTCAAAGGGCTCAGTTCCGATCTAATATGACTTGATCAAGAGAACATTAAGTGTACTAAACACATTGTATTTTATAAGCACGTGTTTTGTGTGAAAACTCGTGTAAATTACTAGCTATAGCTGCTGAATAAAGGCAACCAAGCAAGTATAAGGCACCATGAAAGGGAAGTACAAATACCTCAAAAATGTGCAGCTGTCACGTAAATTTGCATTTATGCATGACTTTAGAAACACTGAATGTATTAAAAATTCATCAATGAAACACGAGTTTACCTCTGTTGTGTTGGGAGACAATTAAAAACTTTAGAAAAAATATCCCATAAGCACATAAAACAAAACCACCACGTGGTTTGGCACCATAAAGGAGTGACAATGCTTCTGTGGTGCCACTGAATATAAAAATATATTGCCAACAAAACTAAGGCTGACATTTTCACATATAGACAAAATGTTTTAACATTTTAATTGCCATGGTGCCCAAAGGCAGCAGCTTAAAAGTTGCTCTTCAAACCATGAAATGTCTTCATTTTAATCTGTCATTCATGCAGGATCCAAGCTACTGGGTTCCATACATGACTGCTGGTTTGATCGCTCTCGTCATCGTCTGTTTTAGTGGAGGACCTGGTATGTGCTTCACAGTTTACATATGTAGCCGAGTGTTACAAAATGGAAATTTAGTCCATTACACACTGAACTGACAAGAGACGAGATGTTTGTGCGCATTTAACTCATTCAGTCCCCTGCATCCTCTCTGGTTCACCCAGGAGCAGTTACTGGTACAGTGAACAGTGAAATCTTCATCCAGTCTGATCGTCCAGCAGCGTTTGTCCTTGTAATGATGCTACGCTGGTTTACAGCAATATTGCTGGGTCTGTTCTTTCCATTCCTTATTGTGAGTACAACTAACTGGAAAATAAGCAACACATTATAGCATCCACAAGGACATGTGTGTCATATTGTACTCGTGAAAACATGAATCTCATGCTGGTATTTTATTTTCCACTTCCTCTCACAGACTACTCTGTCCTCATACACCTTTATACTGTTTGCCTGTGTGTGTGTGCTGGGTTCTCTTTATATCTTCTTCGTGCTGCCTGAGACTAAAGGAAAGGCCCTGCTGGAAATCTCTGAGGAGTTTAAAGCCATCACTGTCTGTGGGAAATCCTTCTCAGAGGAACAGACAACAGAGACCAAGTTCTGAGGCCGTCCACATTGTACACAGACTGCTGTAAAGAACATAAGAAAATGCTTGAAATGGTTCTGAATAATGTACATGAAATGGGACCCAATGACAGAGGAGAACATGTAAACAATAACCAACATTAGTATTTCATCCTCTATCTTTGCCCATTTACAGGTTTCAGTTCCAATTTATCATGATTGTGTTCTCTTTCTGCTATTCTTTGTACACAGTTGTTCCACAGCAGTTTTTCTTTTTGTCAGTTGATGCACAAAAACTAAATAAACAGGTAATGCTAACTTGAAAACGGCTAAAATTTGAGCTAGTAGTCCAGCACACTCCAGATTTCAGATTGCATTGAAAGAACAGGGAGCTTCTTTAAACCACTAAAACAGGAATAACAGCTAGACGTGTGTAGTCTCTACAACAGCCGTCAAAGTGTTCATCCTCCAGGGGGAATGATCAAGGCTTTATGTCTGCACCTCCAATCCACCTTGTCTTTGCGGTACTTTAAAACTTGAAGTGTTTCCTCTTGCATCAGAATTTTCCCTTTCGGGTACAAAATTTGAATGACCATTGATAAAAACAGATAAATGACCATACAGTTTGGATGTAAGGAATGAAAATGTTATTGACCTTCATCTTTCCACCAGTAAATCGTCTACTGCTCCCTTTGGTCCCTCTGGAGTCTCCTGTCTGTTCTTGGAACACTGAATGAAATCTATGGAAACTGCCCCACAAGGCCTCATAACACCATTCAGTATCTGTCATGGACTGTTGAATGAGATCACACAGACGTGGAGATTTTATGGAGGGTTCTTTAGGAACATGGTTGCGACCTTTGATGGGAATTTGTCACATTAATGCTCAGCTGGCCTCTTTTACTATTCTAATAAACCATATCCTCAAAGTGAGACTCTGCAGTGACAGTAAGTGATATTTAGTTATTTTAACAAAAAAGTATGCAGTAAAAACTTCAGTCAGCTGACCTGCTTTGCATCTGTCTGCAAATAACATGTGGCAGGAAGCACATTCTTGGTGAGTGATCCTATTATGATGTAATACAAACCAGAAATTTCCTTCATTTTATTAATTTAGGCTTAAGTTATGATTTATTTATAATTAACTTTGCTGTTACTACAGACATCAGAAAGAGACTGACAAAAAGTGGAGACAACAGGTAAGAACTCGCACTATGAGCTTCCATGTTGCTTCAAGGTACTTAAATCAAGTGAAATGGGGAAAACCTTGCATATTTTAAGGAGAACTGGATGCCGCATTCCAAGCTGGCACATCAGTGTTTCCANGTGAAAACATGAATCTCATGCTGGTATTTTATTTTCCACTTCCTCTCACAGACTACTCTGTCCTCATACACCTTTATACTGTTTGCCTGTGTGTGTGTGCTGGGTTCTCTTTATATCTTCTTCGTGCTGCCTGAGACTAAAGGAAAGACCCTGCTGGAAATCTCTGAGGAGTTTAAAGCCATCACTGTCTGTGGGAAATCCTTCTCAGAGGAACAGACAACAGAGACCAAGTTCTGAGGCCGTCCACATTGTACACAGACTGCTGTAAAGAACATAAGAAAATGCTTGAAATGGTTCTGAATAATGTACATGAAATGGGACCCAATGACAGAGGAGAACATGTAAACAATAACCAACATTAGTATTTCATCCTCTATCTTTGCCCATTTACAGGTTTCATTTCCAATTTATTATGATTGTGTTCTCTTTCTGCTATTCTTTGTACACAGTTGTTCCACAGCAGTTTTTCTTTTTGTCAGTTGATGCACAAAAACTAAATAAACAGGTAATGCTAACTTGAAAACGGCTAAAATTTGAGCTAGTAGTCCAGCACACTCCAGATTTCAGATTGCATTGAAAGAACAGGGAGCTTCTTTAAACCACTAAAACAGGAATAACAGCTAGACGTGTGTAGTCTCTACAACAGCCGTCAAAGTGTTCATCCTCCAGGGGGAATGATCAAGGCTTTATGTCTGCACCTCCAATCCACCTTGTCTTTGCGGTACTTTAAAACTTGAAGTGTTTCCTCTTGCATCAGAATTTTCCCTTTCGGGTACAAAATTTGAATGACCATTGATAAAAACAGATAAATGACCATACAGTTTGGATGTAAGGAATGAAAATGTTATTGACCTTCATCTTTCCACCAGTAAATCGTCTACTGCTCCCTTTGGTCCCTCTGGAGTCTCCTGTCTGTTCTTGGAACACTGAATGAAATGAATGACATGGACTGTTGACTGAGATCAGAGATGTAAACATTTTATGGAGGGTTCTTAAGGAACATGGTTGCGACCTTTGATGGGAATTTGTCACATTAATGCTCAGCTGGCCTCTTTTACTATTCTAATAAACCATATCCTCAAAGTGAGACTCTGCAGTGACAGTAAGTGATATTTAGTTATTTTAACAAAAAAGTATGCAGTAAAAACTTCAGTCAGCTGACCTGCTTTGCATCTGTCTGCAAATAACATGTGGCAGGAAGCACATTCTTGGTGAGTGATCCTATTATGATGTAATACAAACCAGAAATTTCCTTCATTTTATTAATTTAGGCTTAAGTTATGATTTATTTATAATTAACTTTGCTGTTAATACAGACATCAGAAAGAGACTGACAAAAAGTGGAGACAACAGGTAAGAACTCGCACTATGAGCTTCCATGTTGCTTCAAGGTACTTAAATCAAGTGAAATGGGGAAAACCTTGCATATTTTAAGGAGAACTGGATGCCGCATTCCAAGCTGGCACATCAGTGTTTCCACTTGCACAGTTCTTACATATCCCATACATTCATACTGAACTTCCCCTGGTATGTGATGTATAATTATTGTATTTTAGGGGAAAAAGCACGCATTTGGAATGTACTGGTGCTATAGTGTTTGAAAAAACAATCACACTGCACTGAGGTTTTGGAGGACAGCATCATGTAACGTGACATTCATACAGACCTCCATCTAGAGCAGCTTGCGACAGAATATCTGTCGTATCATGCTGTTTGAAATGACTCTTAGAGGACAAGTGGTGGAGTTGTGGACGTTCAAATACCAGACTTCGACCTTCTCTTCTCATCAGTAGTTGTGTGTCATTTGAATTAAGCTGCATTTTAAGAGTGTGCTTGTGTATGTCTATTTCCTCTTTCTTTCTTTTTTTCTTTCTTTCTTTTTTTTTTTTAAAGTATATTAACCATTGTGTTCCACGCATTCCACTGTGTCAGCATTTTCTGCACTTTTCCAACAAGAACAGTAGACTCAGAACTGCCTACTGCACATTTTTATCCCCAGGATATATTTTTCACCTCTATCCTTGTGCCTTCTTCTCATTACTGCAAACTTTGCAAATCACAATCAAGTCCTGGCCTGTGAGTCCTTCTCATGTTCTCATTTGGCTCTCTGACTAGCTGACTGGCTATAATGATATATTTTTTCTTATCTTTGAAGTCTCCACTTCCTTATCACTTGCCAGCAACTAATAGCAGCCAGCCAGCCACAGGGTCTTCATTACCAAACACAGTCAGCCCAGACTTTAGGGATGCGAGCTGTAAGTGGGAGTATTTTGGTCAGGCTAATCATCATACACTAAAATCTTGCTATGCCTTGTTAAATTGTAGCTGTCAGACTTTGTTGGAGCAGAGCACTTCCGGGTTTCACTCTCTTGAGTTTCAATAGGTGGGCCATTCCATCTATTGTTACCTGGCTGAAAATTTGAAAGGGGTGGGATTTTCACTAAAAGCCTTTAAAAGAGAGACTGAAGCTAGCTCCAAACACAACAAGCCAGATTTAGGAGATATAGATATAGGAGATAGCTGTTAGTTGGTATGTTTCTGGTGCTTTGGTTTTGAATTTGACTGGGTGTCAGGTAGCTGTCAGACTTTGTTGGAGCAGAGCACTTCCTGGTTTCACTCTCTGAATTTCCACCACATCCTCGTCTCCAAACTCACTGAACTTGGCATCTCAGGATCTTCCCTCTGCTGGTTTATGTCCTACCTCTCAGAATATCCTGGATGGGGAAGTGTCAAAACCGCACAACACAGAGATTCCTCAAGGGTCAGTGCTGGGTCCCCTTCTCTTCTCAATATATACAACCTCACTTGGTGCAATAATCCACGCCCATGGTTTCGCATACCATTGCTATGCTGATGATACCCAGCTCTTCCTGTCGTTCCCCCTGGACAACCACATGGTCTCTGCCATGTCTTGTAGACATCTCGGCATGAATGAAAAATCGCCACCTTCAACTCAACCTCTCTAAGACTGAGCTCCTTGCCATCCCAGCCAGTCTCTCTACAACAAGAAATCAACATCGAGCTTGATTCAATCCAACTCAAACCCAGAAAATCTGCTAGAAACTTGGGTGTCATGGTTGATGACCAGCTAACCTTCAAGGCTCATGTGGCTTCTGTTGCTTGGTCATGTCGATTCGCCCTGTACAACATCAGGAAGATCAGACCTTTCCTGTCTTGACCACTGCATTGACGACTGCAACTCCTTGCTGGCAGGCCTCCCCGCATCCACGGTCAAACCTCTGCAGATGATCCAGAACGCAGCAGCACATCTAGTTTTCAACCAGTCAAAAACAGCTGTTCAGTTGCTGCCCGCATCAAATTCAAAACTCTGACACTCGCCCACAAAACCAGAATGAGAACAGCTCCCACTTACCTGAACTCTCTCTTTCAGATCTACACTCCCTCTCTCTCACTACGTTCAACCAACAACAGTCGCCTGATACAACCACCACAACAGGCCCAAGGTCGATAGCTAGACTCTTCTCCTCTGTGGTTCCCTGGTGGTGGAATGAGTTACCAAACTGTTCAATCTGCTGATTCCCTCTCAGTCTTTAAGAAAAGACTAAAGACCCAGCTCTTCACTGAACACAGACAGACTGAAAACAAAAAAACAAACAAAAAAAATTCTTATTACCTCCCACACAGCCTGCTATTGGCATCAATGTCCCATCACCCTTGAATTTATTTTATAGCACTTATCCAGACTGTTTTCTCCTGACTAGATCCTTGCTTGTGTTGTATCTGCTCTCAGATGTAGGTCGCTTTGGATAAAAGCTCCTGCAAAATTAAATTGTAGAAATTGCAA